GGGGTTTTATTGAAAGAAGTATAATTGAAAATGAGTAGGAAAATTTTGAATTTTTAAATAATGTGGCTCAATCAGGGTACAATTAGCAATAGTGTAGACGATGAAACATTTCATATAATTTAATCATCAATGTATAAACTACTAAAAGCATTAGATGATCAGTATGGACTAAAGTGGGTTAAAATGTCCAAACTAGACATGATCCAACAAACTAGGAAAAATTCATAGCTAAAAGGTTAAATATCATCCATTTCAAAAATAACAAAGGTTTCAAATTTCAAAAATCAGATTTTGATTAAAATTTAATTATGACTTAATTAATTAATTAATTAATTATATATATACCTTAATTTAGTAAAAAAAAAAAAATTGAAAAGTCAAATATGTCATACTATTATATAATAATAATAATAAAAAAGATATAATAAATGGGCAGGCGGTGGATCCACCAAACTTAATCCATTACCCAACAAAAATCAAATCCATTTCATTTACTTGGAGAGAAGCAGAGAACGAAAATGGAGAGAAAGGAAGAGAGAAGGAAGAGAGAGAAGAAAGAAAAGAAAGAAAGAAAGAAAGAAAAAAAGGGAGAAGAGAAAAAAAAAAAAAAAAGGAAAAGTTCACATTTGTTGTTAGAAAATAAGTGGTCTACATTATTAAACTTGGATTCCTCAATTTTGAAAAGTAAGTAAAAAGTTATTTATTGTCAAGTTATGTTTGATTTTATAGTTGTTAGATTGTTAGATTAAATTCAATATTATTGAAGTTGTTAAGTATAATAAACTATAAAATTGAGTAAAGTGAAAGAAAAACTTGTTTTAGTGATTAAAGAAATTGTAGAAATCACTTAAATGTGAAATAATTAAGTTTGGGTATTGCTTATTTAATTATTGAAATTATTTAAAATAATTAATTATTTATTTAAAAATTGTATCGTATTTCAGGCGACGATACTGATATTATGACAACTTACCAACCGGGTTGATTTTTCGAATATAGTACTGTGAGTGGAAAATATAAATATTTTTAAAGTATTTATAAATTAAGCTTATTGTTAAAGTATGTACAATTATATGCAATTATGTGTACAAATTATATGGTTATTATGAAAATCTCTTTTATTATGATACATGTGGGATTTCAAAGATTGTATACGTTACATTGTCACTTGGTATTTGAGACATGTGATATTGAGATTTGTTTGGTATGTGAGATGTGATATTGAGATCGGCCAGAAAAGTACCAATAATTATTTACTTCTTCTAGTTCACAGAGGAGCTTTGGCCGTGTTCTATCCTACACGGAGGGTCTTGACCGGATATTGGTCTTAATCGTGTACATATAGTTCACAGAGGGGTCTTGGCCGTGTTCTAGAATTGATTGTGAGAGGTCTTTGAGATCGGCTTTCATTCATGGAGGGGGCCAAAGGCCCGTGGTGAAAGTTCTTAGCTTGAGGGGCAGATTATATATTTCAATCAGAGGGTACATTTTTTATGGATTTTTCAGCACGTTTGATGTGATGAGATTATAGTATGGTTATCAGCTGATATTTATATCATAATGTTGAGATGATATTTTACGACTTTATGTGAATATTTCATTTTTGGCTATAATTACATGATGGTAGCTTGTGAATCATCAAATGATATGAATTTGATTTTCGATAGAAATATAAAATTGAAAAGGTATAATTATTTTTGAACTTATCCACTCACTGAGCTATCAACTCATATATTTTCCCACGATTTTTCCTACAGGTAGCAATTGATTCTATTTAGCTGGAAGAGCCTAATGATTTTGGAATGAGAGCCACACGACATGTTGAATATTATAACTCATATTGATAAAGCACGAAATAAATATTTTGGGCCCATCACATTATATTTTACAAAAGCATTTGATTTTTGTTGCATTTTTTGAAATAACTCTTAGTTAGTCTTTGTGATAGATTTGACATCTAGTCAGCATTTATCATCGGCGCACGTCATGTTTCGGATCCACTAGAGTGATTCAGGACGGGTCGTGTCATTATTATACAATCACAATTCGAAAATTTTATAGGCTACAATTTGTTCACCGATCATAAATAAAAAATTTATATGTTACAATTTATTTAATGGTCACAAATCATAAATATTACAAATCATAACTTATTAGACACTCACAAATTAGTAAATTACCTATCACGAATTAACAATTTTTTTAAGTTACACATTATCTTTTTTGTCACAATTTATCATTTTCATTGGCCACATATTGTTTATTGATCACATATTAACTAATTTAATGAACCAAAAAATTTGTGACCACCAACAACAATTGCAACCACAATCTTACCACTACCTCTAGCAGTATCATCACCATCTTCATTGCTAGAACCACCACCCCCATCTCTCGACAACAACATCACCATCTCAAACAAATCAGCACATTGAAAAAAACAACCACCACATCTTCACGCTAGATCCAAAACCACTCCGACATACGCATCGCCACCAATATCTCACCATCACCACTGCAACCACTGCCACAACCATCACTGCCGATCAACCTGCCACTGACAAAATATGGAAGTTGCTACCACCGCCACTCCAATAACAAAAATCAATGCCTCACCACCATCAACTACCTATACCACTATCGTACCACAATTGCTAGATCCACTACTTTCACCACAATTGAGCAGATCTGCTACCACCACCTAAACACCACCAAAAAATCAAATCCAAAATTATCACAGCCACCACCATAGCCACACCCACAATCGCCTACTTTAACAACCACCTCCACATTCATCTACAACTCCAATCAACCACCACCACTATCTATTAGAATCACCATCTCCTACAACACTACCACACTGCAGCCACCACCCGCTAACAAAACTCCAAACTTGCAACAATCACCAACATATTGTAGTGGTTACTTCGATCAGTTGCTTTACCAGAATTCCTGGTTGCGCTCAAAAACGTAGTTGTGAGTGCTACACATAGCTGCATAGTGTCGTAGCAATGCTACGAATCATGTACAACAACTAACAAAGGCCGCTTTGCGCGATCGTGACGCAAAGCACTGTCGTCGTTGACAAATAAAGAATGGAGGAGGGAGAAGAGAGCAGAGGCGATGGTGGTATACAGTGGAAATGATGGGTACTGGTTGCTTTTCACAGCGTGGCACGCGTCTACGTCGCCGACAAGGAGAGTATAGAAGGGGAGGAAGGAGATGGGAAAGAGACAGAGAAGAGGATGAAAATTTTAGGTTTAAAATTGCTTGAGAGAAGAGTGAGAGTGTAAATACTAGACTTTAAAGGGAGAAATTTAGGTTTAACAATGAGGTGGGGTGGATATCTATCTCAATTAATATAATTTTATAATATTAAAAGATGAATAAGTCTCTGATTTTTGAAAAAAAAAATGAATTCTTTACAACTATTTTCTGAATCGTGCATCTTAAAATTCTGTATAGGTGTAATTTCAACTAGAGACAATGCAAAACAACTTTTATAAATTTATTTGGAATGAACTGTGCTCAAATTTATGAATTCATTTTTGTTTCTCAATCTTAAAAGATTTTTTGATATAAAAAGACGAAATTTTTTCCCATCTTTAGTTTTAAAGCAACTTCACCGAAACCCAGCAAATGATACGAAAAGCATTTTTATGAAACTAAAATAAAGCGTACAATCTTCATTATGAATCTAGCACATTAGAAAATAGAATTAGCAAATTCAGATACTTCTGATGCAACCTGATTGTAATTTCCCTTCAACTTTTCTTATTCCTCCTGGGCAATTTCCACCTTGGTGGGCTTGGTTGGCAGCAGAACACAGCAAGTTGGTCTCTATGTGGCTCCTGCATTGGCAAGATCCTGAATCGAGCAGGTTGTCACGTTATAAGCAATCAAACTTTTCATGTCTAGTTCGTTGTTAGAGCATGTATGTGCAGGCTTTAAAACGTAAAATTTGCTTGTAGTGAAGAAATGGGTGGATAACTTAAAAAAAGTTACTTGATTTGAACTATCAAAATAAGTAACTTAATTTCAACTTTTACGCATACAAAGT